GTCACCTGCTCAGGCTCCCTGGTCCTTCTCCACAGAGCTGCTCTTCATTAGGTCAGCCCCATCACATGCTGGAAATCCTAGACCTCAGCTGCAAGCTGAAGAATTGCCTCAATGTATTTGTCCCAGAAGAGCTGTTTGCTATTTTCTGAGGTGAAAACTTTGCTGAGGACCCCTATTTCCCAATGTGACTTCTCAGGCTGCTGTCTTTTTGGGTTCCGCCCATTTTTCCTGGGCTGCTGGCTCAAAAAGGTCCAAGGATGCAATGGGGTTGCACTGACCTCGATGAGCATCACGAGGTTGTTGAGCAGAATAACCTGACCTGGCTCTGTCCATGCTTTTCCCCCAGGACTGAGCAGGAAGGATTTAGGATATGAGCAGTTAGCAGGATGCATTCAAAGCTGTTGGGTAGCTGCAGATGACCAGCTTTTCAAAGAGCTTGCAATAGGACTCCAAGTTTACCTTCAGGAATGGCATTACCAGAGGAATGGCTCTGTGTTGAGAGCATCTCAGGGTTGCTTCAGCATTCCCTGGCATGAGTTTCAAGTGGTTTGTGCATCCACATCGGATAAGAATGTTGGGCCAGGGATTGTGGGAATGGGCTTTGTTGCTGATGTGGGTTTAAGTAGTAGGCTTTCCAGTTTGTATTTCTTCATTTGAAACCTTTTTTGGACAGGTGCTTTGTTCAGTGTGTTTGTGCCTGCATAGTACTTTAACATCAGTTTTCTTGTTTGTATATAATCTGTTACCTCATTAGTCCTGAACAGCAGAACTTGAAGCTGTCTTCATCACCTCAAAAACATCTTGCTACTGAGCTGATAAACCATCCTTCCCTTTGTGTGACATGAATGTTAAAATGTTGTAAACAAGTTTCCAAAGGATCAACAGCAATTTTTCATGCAGGATAAATATTAATTTGTCTTGTAATATTCCTTTTATGTCAACCGCAATAATCTACTGTGCTTAAAGCATAAATATCTTTTCATGTGTGTTTGTCTGAAGTGACAGCAAGTTGCCAGAGATGTTATCAGACACAACATATGAGGATGAGTAACACTACTGCCTTATGACTACAGCTATTTAAAATAGGCAGGGAAAAATTATCATTAGAAGCTGAATATTATTGGTAGGTTTGTCACACAGTATGTGAGTGTTTAGAGGGAATATGAAAAATAAAGTATTTGCATTTAGACCAGCACTTTCTGGAACACCACAGAGCAGTATCAGCTAGTAGCTCTTCTGTCATATAACACAAACATGGGTATATTGGGAGTAAAATACTGACTGCTGTTCCCTCTGCAAACCTTGGCTTCTGTGTGATAATGATGAATGTGCTCAGGACCTCAGAAGTGCTAAGTGCCTGGGTGTGTGGGTGTATATCTAGTTACAATTTCATTATTTTAACTGCATCTCTTCAATATCAGCATCACATTGTGCAGCTAGGGTCCAATTAAAAACCTGTAGCAAAAGAGTCCTGCAGTGACTCATTGGTGAAGATCTTTGTGATAAAGAACAGACCCTCCAGAGTCCTGAGCAGCAGAATGTCACACTGGCAGCCTGAACCATGGTGGCACCTTTCATCTCAGCTAATGTCCCCTGGTATCTAAGCAGCAGCAGCAGAAGTTTGGTGGAAGCTGCAGTGCTTTTTCTGTTCTGTTCACCCAGGGGGATCCCAAGAGTCTTATTAGAGCTGCAAGCCGATAGGAGAAAATAATGGCAAGGCAATTCTAGCTAGAACCTGAGAGTCATACAGTCTACAGAATGATCTCAAAGCATGGCACATGGATTCCCACTGTGGGGAAATACAGGTGAACAGGTAGCTTCTGGTTTTGCTGAGAATGGGTTGCTCTTGCTGTGAAATAGAATGTTCTTGTATCCCTTGGCAGGGATGTGGAATTGATCTCCAGGTGATCCCTTTAGTCCAAGGAGCAGTCTCTAGGCTGGTCCTGGAAATGGTGGTCATATTGATCCTGTGGGGGAGCACCTCAGGAAACAGTGTCAGGCAGTGCCTGAGAGGTTGTGCTTTTGAGGGAGGGGAGAAGCATAGGGATTTCTGTTCAGAATTTATCATTTCTCACATCAGATTCATTAATTATTCCTTTGTGGGTGCCATGGCTTAATCCCAGAATCTTCAAATTCTGCTGTATAAGAAAATGTCTGTGGTATTAAAGTAAGCACCTCCATTTCAACTTAGGAAACTGTTCCCATAACACCAGAGCTAAGTGATGCTCTGATAGTTCCTTGCTTGGCACTTACAAACTAAAAGAGCAGTAAGAGCAGAAGGAGAATGCTGCTGCAGACAATGAAGTCACCTGTGAGATAGTTGAGCTTTCAAAAGCAAGAACAAAGTTGAGTTTATTCCCTCCTCTTTTAAAATAAAACAAACATGTATATATTATAAAAAAATCAATCTTTTAGCTCCAGTATTTGCCCAGGTAGGTGATCTCCCCAAAAGTATGCAGTGGAAGGACATTTCTGACAAGACTGTGTTGGTGGTGAGTAGCACAGTGTAATCCATTGTGGAGCTGTGCCCTCTGCAATGATTTCTGCAATGATTACCACTTCACAGCAGCTGTGTCCTCCTGGGAACAGCATCCTGGCAGAGTGTGCTGGGGTAACCCCACCATGGCAAGGCTGTATTCCTTGTAGCAATATACACCAGTAGGTACAACTGGCCATGTGATGAGTAATAAGATGCAACTGCACAGTGTGAGCCCTGCAGACAGAGAGTAGAAATAAAGAAGTCAGAACAAAGGAGATTTGTGACTCACAAATTTGCTGTAGCAGCCACCCCGGCCTACTACTGGACTTCATTGATGATTCAAACCTGACCTCAAGTCAGGGCATAAGAGGAACTATCCTTGGCAGCTCCCTTGATTTAGAACTGCTGCAAGAAAAGAGGGAATGAGAGCTGCCTTTGTTTGTTATTTTTAAAATCTGACTCCCTGTTGCAAGGCAGTAAGGTGTGCAAATGGCTCTTGCACCTGGCAAGTTACCATCAGCAATTATTGCAACACTTAGTGTCTTTCTGCCACCAGCAGAAATCTCTTTGCTCCCTTTCATGTCAGAGATTTCATTGTTCTTATGGGGATGGTAAAATTAAAGCCACAAGATTTACTGCTCTAATTCTCTTTTGTTTGCAACAAAAGGGAGAGACAGGGAAGGATGATACATGTAGCTGGATTTTGTGTTGTTGGGGTTTTTTCCCTTTTATTGACCAACAAAAATGATGGCAAAAACTTTGTTTAAATTCATCAAACAATTCCATTAGCAACTGTATTAAAGACTATTATTTAGACACAGGAATCTTGTTATTAAGGAAGAAAAGCTGTGACTGCATTTTGTTCTCCTCTGTTTTAAAATCTTGACATCTGAGCAGGCTGTACTTTATGTATTTCTTAATGTTTCTTTCAGTATAGATGTTTTCTAGTTTTAGATGTCATTAATGTGGTGTAAATGTCAAGAACACTGTTTTTGACAAATATATAAAAAATGCTGTGTATGATAAATGTACGTATGTGAGGGAAACAGTGTTTGATAGGAATCCAGTTTTCATTTGTAGCCCTTCTGTTATTGCCCTTTGTGTGACCTGAGATGATTTGCCAAATCAGACTTTTTCAGAGGGGACATCTGTGAACACAAGTGCAGTTCCTGTGTTCTAAACCAGCACCTGACTGTGAGCTGTTAAAATCTGAGCTCTTGACTCTCAGTTCAGTGGAGAGAATTGAGGACAATCAAATAAGGACTATTCACCAGATGCCTCATGGAAGGAGCATGAACTGCTGCAGGAGCCCAGAGTGGCTGCTTTGCACCTCCTGCTCCAGAGCTTACCCACTGAGGTGAAAAGGAGAAAGATTCATTTGTAGCTCCTCAACAGTATTCCTTAGACAGCCTGGACATCATATGAGCCATGCTCAGTGATGTAGGAGATCATTTCTCTGAAGCTGCAACCTTGGCATTTTCAAAAACAAGCTTCTGCTCTGGCTTAAATTCATGCACATTTAAAAATAAGCTTCAATTACAGCCCTGTTGAGCCTTAATTTCTCTCTCAATGAAATTACTCTTCATGAGACCTGCATGTTTTCAGTATTAACAGACAGGCTGTATTAATGGACGCTCCAGGTAATCAAGACAATGAGATTTCATTTCCTGACCAGTCTTGCTAGAATTTGTGGAATATCATGCTTTTTCTTGCTCTGAGGGTTGGTCCCTTTCATTTGCCAGCTACAGGCTCCAGTGTGCTTGTTCTGTGGACAAATTGATAAATTAGTCAGCTGCCGAAAGGGAGTCATTTGACTCACCTGAAATGAGCAGCAATGGGATGAAAATACATTACCTCTGTCCCACTGGATAAGCCTCAGATTGTATTGAAATAGAATTAGGCCGAGGGAGTCAATGTAGTGGATAATAATGAAATGTTTAATGTGGATTAGCTGCATATAAAATTAATACATTAGAATGAATTGCTGAAGAAATGAAACTGTGTCAGACCTTTATCCTGTCTCTAATATTAGACTTAAAACTGCTGCAGTCTTCTGTTTATAGAAGAGCATAAGAAAAGCTATTGAATTGGTGTTCTTTATTTGGGTGAGAGGACTAGATACAGTATAAAGTATTCTAAATAAATATGAATATACCAGAGCTGTAAATCAGGATCCAGCAGAACCAATGCTAATAAACTTGGGTCTGAACCAGACCTGAGGGGTTAAAGACAAGAATCTAAAGCTAAAACTCCTTAATCACCTGTGTGGGCTTTTGTCTTCTGGGAGTTAAATGTAAATATAATTTTTATTTTGGACCATTCAGAGATGACTTGAAGTGTTGCTTTAATCCTAATAGGTTTAATAGAAAATGGGCAAGCTTTCCAAACTAGTTGGCAAATGAGGTATGGAAGGGCTGCAGAATGAGCTGAGACATAAAACTTGAAATTATTCATCTGTAATCTAGGAGGCCTTGGGGTTTTTCTAATTGTTAAAGCTTTCTTGTTGCATCCTCTGTTCTAGGTTCTTTTCTGTTTCTCAATGCATCAGAGAGGCCGAGCCCCACCATCCTGAGCCCTTGGCTGAGGAGCAACAGTGATCAATGTGTGGTTCAAGTGGCTGTGTACAAGTTTTACCAGCAGAGTGGAGAATATATTGCTCGTGTCCATCCCATTGATGAGAGCAGCAGCGAAATCCTGTCAGAGGAGAGTCCAGAGAAACACGGGTGAGTCTCATCCCCTCGTTTGACTCACAGCTTGAATTGAGAAAAATCACTCGACTGTGTAGCCATAGTGCCACAAAATGCATGCTGCCCATCTGAGGGGAGCAGGACATGCCACTGACAAGATGCTTGTCTGGCATGGGTCTAAAATATCGTAGAAGGTGGAGGTTGGTGCTTATTTTATTATACAAAACATTAGCAAATTTCTGGATCCAGGTAATGGAGTTTCTAAGTCAACACCATATTTATTCTCAGTGCTTGCAGGTACAGGTAGAGTGTGGGTACTCATCCTCAGGTTAAAGATTTTCTGCTTAATTCTCTGTGTGATTGCTTTTTACTACTTCTTAACCCACGTATACTATTGGGCTTAGAATATCTACTGAGTCTTTGCAGTTTCATGTGCCTGCATACATTTTCAGTTTTGTCTTCACTTCTGATTTTTTTTGCCCATAAAGCTGTTCAGAACTACTGGCAGGGGAGGAAAGCTTTTGATCTTTCAAGGGTGCAACTGTTTGAAATGTTTTATCCTCTTTGTGCAATTAATCTTGATGATGTTTTAATTTGTCAGACTTCCTGTGTATTCTTTTAAATTTTTGTTAGCAGCAAAACAGCAGGAGATGAACACAGTAAATATTTCAAGATGCTGTAGGAGTAGAGTAACTCGGAATTTAATTTGGATATATGTGAGGCTAATGTTCTACCTGCTCTATATACTGACTATTTAAAATTTTTATTTCTTACCTTTGTTGTGAAATGTGTTAGGAAGCATAATTTTTATGAAACATCTCAAATGTTCTTTGTTTTGATGTGATAGATTAGAGAGTTCCTAATAGCAAATCCTGCTGGCTTGTCCTCGTAACAAGATGTAATTATCTGATTACTGTCTATAGCAAATCCTGTACCTTCCAGTAGCAAAAGGAGAATGTGCAATAAAAAGCCTTGCAGGAGATAACCTAACTCATAGAAACAGTTTGAATAGTTGTAATTCTTATATAACACATGGCCTATAAAAGTGAGGAGGAGAGCTTGTGTGTGGATCTAGATCATACTTAGTTCCAGCAACATCATCCAAATTGTAAATTGCTGTTGATGTCTGGGGAGAGGTAATTAGAGGAGCCACAGCAGCTGTCTTCTTCCTTAGCTCTTTGCAAATGCTGTGTTCTGTGTCACAGCTAATAAACATGCTTTGTGCAAAGTGCCTCCTGCGTTGGCACTGCCTCTGCTCCTTGGCACTCCCAGGGAATGTTGCTGTGTGTGAAATGCTCAGCATGGAGGAGCTGTGCCTCGGATCTGTGGGTGGGCAGAGCTCCCTGGGAGCCCAGGCGAGTGCCAAATGTAAGGAGCCTAGAAGGGAAGGGAAAGATTGCTTTAAGTACAGTAACAAACTCCTGCCTTTGCCATCTGCTGGGGATAACATGGATGACTCAGCTGTGTGTTGCAGATGGAGATTGTCACTGCAGTAAAGAGGGTTTGTGCTTTTGCAGAAGGTGGCTTTGGTTATAGCTTGACTGTCCCATATGCTTGCCAGAAGTGCAGCTTGCTCCCCAACAGCGTCTCTGTGGGGTGTAGATGGCTAAGGATGTGCCTGTGGCTTTCATGGGTTTGTATGTCTGACTCCTTGGTACTCCATGTGCTGGAAAACTCCAGTTGGAGCCACCAGCTGGTTCATTTCCCCTCCTCCTTTGGTCCTGTCCTTCACTGCAAGAGGCAGTAACTCTCCTCTCAGCTCAGCAGTGCAGAAAAACGGTGCTACTGTGCCCACATAAATGTCACATGGGGATGGTTAAATGGCTTCTCACAGCCACAGATGAGGAGGTAGCAATTTGTCACCATTTGCCCTGAATCTTCATTCCAGAATTTGAGTGCCCCTCCTTTGTTTAGAGGGATAATATTAGCTATTCCAGCTCTGATAACAAAACATGTAAATCTCAATTTATAAAGCATCTTTTTTCCTTTAAAGAGGAATCCAGTATAGCTGATTGAAAGTCAAGAATAACTCAATGGTGTTCTTAAATGAACTAGCAATCCTACAGTGGAAATCTGTTCTGTTCAATATTTTATTTTGTCTTGGAAATTGCAAACAATTGTGTTCTTTTATAATGAGTTCTTTGACCATGCTATAACCAAATAATTTCTAAAATTTTATAAGGATTTTAGCTCTAGGCACAAAGTAATTGAATTCCCCAATGATGAGTCTGTGCTAGAAATAAAAACACTTTAAAGTTTCACCGCTGACACTTCTTTGATTCTATGTGCTTTATATATTGCTTTGCAAACCAGAGGTGTAAAGTGTGTGACTTTGTATGTGCAGTAGTGAGTCCATGCCATTGCTTGAGATCAAGCCCATAGCAGGAAGAATGTGTTTTATTGAAAAAAAAAATGCGTATGAAGGGTGATAAAACAATAAGTTAATTTCAGGGTGGATTTTCTCAGATCTTGAACTATGCACAGCACTAATATCTTCTTTCCTTTTTTTTCCCCTTTTTAAATTGTATAACCCAAATTACATCTTTTAAGATCTCACAAGGTCTTCACAGTTCACCTACATTTACAAGAGAAAAAAGCAGATGCTGTCAGGTATTACTATTTCATTCAGGGTGAAACCAGGCAAGCCAAGGTTTTGGGTGACAGCACTTGAGGCTGATTTTAAGTAGAATATATGTAAAGCTATGAAATTGTATTAGGTAAAGACAGCATGGCCCCCAAATATTTATTTGTTACCAGAGCTCCCCATGTTGTCTTTGTGTGTAAATTACTGGGTGTGATTATGCATAAAGACTCAAAACAGAACTATGGATGTTCTGTTTGCTCCTCTGGTCTCATTCTTCAGAAAAAAAAAACCAAAAAAACCCAGCCTGTGGACTAGAGTTGTATGAGTTCCATAATGAGCCAGAGGGGTTGCAGAAATGGTTGTTTGGAAGACACCTGTTTGTTTTATTTTCTTAGCTGACATATTTCCCTGCAGCTGATGTGTTGCATGCAGGAAGAAAGGTGGCTAAGCTAAGATGCATCACACTGCAGTAGGGTGAGGATGCAGTAGGGTGGGACAATGGAACACACACCAGGAGCAGAATGGCAGAAGTGAGGGCTGGGAATGGTTTCTGAGGGATGAGCGCCAGAGGCTGCCAAAGGGATACTTGTTTTGTGGTACACAGAAACTCTGCCAAATACAGCCATAACTTTGTTATATAATATTTAGAAGAAAGCTTCCTACTCACTAGGTAACTATGTCCTTGTTTATCAGTTCAGCAGAATTATGTACTTGTTAAAATTATCATTAATTTTAAAGAGGCGTAAGGTTTTACTCCAGTTTAACCTGTGGGCTTTGGAACACCTTTGGTTAGACCTTCCTTACTTAACTCCTAAACAATCAGTAGGACTCTTCTCTGGGGGACACTACATCACTGTGTACTATCAGAGTTACTTTTGTTGCATGGCAGTGTTTCTAGCTGCGCTGAGTCTGTGGATGTTTTTGATGTGGTTAGTCTCTTCTGACATCTCTTGCAGTGCTGTTGGGTTTTACAAGCACCCGCAGATGATACAGGGAGAGAAGCAGTGCACTGCTATTGATCTTTTGTAATGGCAGAAGAGTTGTTATAATTCCTGCCATGCAGCACAGCACTCTCTGATTTATCTCAAATGACACCAGATGTGGCTACTATCTTTTGCTGTTTTTCTGTTTCCATGGTGCTGTATACAATCCTTTCTTGCTATTTAATGGGGTTCCCATTTTCTATTTCTGTAGGTGAGGAGACATCAGGTATGTTCATGTTGCATGTTGGTAATTTAGCAAAGCAGAATTGCTGCCGTGGTTTGAATGTTGTCTTCTGGGTACTTGTCAGACTGTCACTGTGGCCACTGATTTAATTTCATCTCTCATCTTTTTTTTTCCCATGTGTTACATTTATAATTATAAAGCAAGTAAGATTTTAAGTGTGCTTAGTAGAGTGGAGAGAACACAAAGGAAATCAAGGAAATCTTGTCAGCAAGGTTAGAGTTTGTAATAAAGGATTGATTTTAATTTCTTTTGATCTGTGTATTTTGGAGAAATTAGAATTGGGCAAGGACAAAATTATCATGGTTCATTTTAATTATCATTTTTACTTTACACCTCTACTTGCACTATTAATGGTGAGCTGCAGTATTATATACTATATATCAAACCAAACTTTACAAGAACATAGCAAATGACACCTAATTTCAATGTGGTCTTTTATTGTCAACCTCCCTCATCACCAAGCCTGAGATTGATATGAAGACTTTTGTGTAAATGTGTGAAGTTGAAGGTGTTTCTGAAATAAAACATGAAATGTGAACATGTATGCGTGAGAAAAGAAGTCATAAAACGCTCATACTTCATACAGCCAGCACTTCAGTAGGTGTATGAATACTGGTGCACAGAGCACTTCCAACAGAGAAAGTTCACCTGGTTCTGAAGGCTGCTGCAAATCATAATAGGCTATTCCCTTTCTGGGATCTACAGCTTCACTTAAGATTGATTGCATTGATAGATGTCAAGGAAAATATATGAAGGAATCAGTAGCATCTGTCACATTTGACCTTGGGGCTTGAAATCTGAAGGTTATTTCTTGTACTACTCTTGCTCCTTTTCTTTCTTTTTTTACCAGTAGCTTCAGTAGCTTGTCTCAGTGACCAGGTACTTAATAGAAGGATTTTTTTGTTTGATTGTTTTATATTCTTTTTGCAATGATGGGGGATGTTTGTTTGGTTCTCTTCCCCTTCTTGAAAAACTTCACTAAATTCAAGCCTTTGTTTTGCAAATGCCTGGGCTAAGACATAAAAAGAATGAAGACCAACATCTTAGTGTGTATTTGGGGCATTTAAACTTATTTTTAAGCATCAAAATATGTCTCAAAATTTGCAGGATATTTTTAGTCTGGGAGAATTCTAAATCTGGAGTTCAAGTGATTCAGTTCAAACTATGCATTTGAGAAATTCAGGTAATCCAGGAAATTAATTTGGATTTATGGATTCGTTAGAAA